ATAAAACTATCAAAGCAACAAAGTGAAAACATCAAGGTGATACAGCAAATAACACATGATGCATAAACCATGCAAAGCTCAAGCACCAGCTTGACTTGTGAGTATCAAATCAGATCGAGAAAACAGTTCAAACATTAATCTACTAGCTGCAGCTTTTGTGGAGAAGTACCACAAATATCTTAATGACATACAAAAGATAAAGCTTTAAAAACTTTTTAACCACTGTCCTTCATCTGGATTACGAGTTGCAAGAGTCTAGTGACCTTCCTCTTCAATGTCTTCGAAATACCTGGCAACTTGGAGCATGCTGGCTACTTGCAACACCTGGCCGAGAATCTCCACCTTCCAGGGGCGATCGATCTCCTTGCCCTGCCCCCGGAGCTCGTCCACGACCGACGCCATGGTCTGCCGCAGCGGCATCGGCAGCCAGTGCGGCGGGTTCACGAGCAGAGTTACCATGTAGGGCCCGTTGGAGATGTCCGTTCTAACACCTCGGCTCCTTGGCCGAGCTTGACCCAGATCAGGTTGCCTCCCTGCACGTCCTTGACCCCAGTGCCGCTCAAGATATCCCGCAGGATCACACCATAGCTGTACGCGTCCCCCCTGGTTGTGGGTCCTAAAACTCGTAGAACAGACAATGCATTTAACAGTCCCCAGCGTTTTCGGCCATGATGCTCCCCCAGCAGCTTTGGCAAAAGCCACGAACGCAGGAGCACGTCTGAGGAACAACGGACACACTAACACAGCCACAGCCACCACAGTAATCAGACACAACATGTCTCCCATTGGGACTGAGCACCTATTGAGTTATGGAGACTCAAACTCCAGCTGAGATCCACGCCAGCTATCTCCTCCAGCTGGAGCTCAGCTGCAAGCTTCTCCTCGTTGCTGACTCTCCTGTCTGTCAGGACGGAAATGCTGATTGCTGCCCCACAGAACTGGAGAGAGAAGCTTGATTTGATCGATTGGGCTGCGGCCGCCACTACCTGGGAGTAGCCCCATCCTGTGAAGGATTCCGCACACCTCGGCCCACCAAAACCAGTGAATACACAATCGCTGGAAACCCATTGGTGGGGATCGCCAATTACGTACTCCCCGGTGCTCACCATTCTCCCCACATGCACAATTCTCCCTTGGATCAGGAAAGTAGAGAATTTAATTGTCCCACAAGTTCAATTGATTTTCAGAATCAGTCATAGCAGCACGCGCAGTTTCCTCGTCGCACCAGAAAGCTCAATCCTTGTCACCATGTCGTTGTAGTACTCATCCACTGCAAATTTGACTGCGTCAAACACAGAAACTGGCTTTGCATCGGTCAAATCTCCTACCCCGTGGGAGATGGTCTCGATGCTGGCACCATCCCCAGATCCAGATAGCGTGGCAACCACGGTAAAACCATCGATACGGAACAGATGCAGTCAAGGGAAAGGGTGATCTCGCACCCCTGTTCACAGAGGCGGCAAAGGCGTCGTTATACCAATTAGCAGCGCGGAGCAAGGTTGCGCAAGCCGTGGATCAGGTGCTTATTGGGGATTTCTCTTTAGCACAAAAGCAATCTCTAGATGCGCAGGCGGTTGTGTATCAGCTGCGTTTCAGGAGTAGAACCGATGGCGAAATCGGATCCATACTTAGTGAATTGGATCGCAGAGATCTACTCATCCCCGGTCCTCCTGTTAGTCTGGTCAAGCCTGACTTATTAGAACCAGGAAGCTTGAAATTCCTCAAGTAACTCCTCTACATATATGTTTTTTTCCACAGTAAAAGCAATCCTTTTGAAGTAATGACTTTTCATCGAGGTTGCTTGATGCTGATCTCGCCGCTCAACTTGCCCATATCTCCTCAAAGTAAGCCGGGATGAACTTGACGGTGGACAGGATCTCGGCCGACAGCTCGATCACCTGGTTGAACCCCTTCTCCCAGGAAACGCCCACTACGTTGAGCCTCTTGCTCCGGAGCCGCGGATCAAACATGTGCAACTGCCCGAGCTCCAACCCGGCGAGAGCCCGGCAATCTGGGAGGAGCGATGATGTCAAATGGAATCCAACTTACTGGAATGGACTGACCTGGACGATGGAGTGAGCTTGTAGTAGAGCCTTTGCTTGTGGAGGATGTCCAGTAGCTTAGCTAGATGATCCAGGGGGTAGAGATGGCTTGCAGTGGGGCATGTCCGTGGCCACCTTGAGCACTGCCTCAACGAGAGGTGAGGATTCCATAGAAAGCTTAGCACGAACATCATACCTTGGCACGAAACCTTTGCAAGTCCACAAGCTCACAGTAAATTTAAGAAAGAGTTTTAGTGCACGTCCGTCTAAAAACAGACGTGGTTGAGAACAATCCCAAATCAACAAGTGATTATGCAGGATTTATCAGCACCACATCTGGAGGAGCAAACGTTAATTCTGTGAAAAGAAAACATTTTTTAGTATTAGGTTCCACCGAGATTTGAACTCCGGTTACTGGATTCAGAGTCGAGTGTCACTACCACTAGACCACGAAACCATTTGGACATAATTCGATGCTTGGTTTATCATCTACGATTACGGACTGTCATTGAAAAGGGACGCGGTGCTGGAATCTTTCAACGCCGTCGGTGGTCAGTATTTTGCAAATTTGCAAGGTTCCGCCAAGATTTGAACTCCAGATACTGGATGCAGAGTCCAGTGTCATGCCTACAATAACACGGATCAAACTAAAATTTTCGAATGTCTGGCTGATGGCCAACAAGTTGTTAAGTCGAGAACTACCGCTAGTCACTCAGATCCCTCCTATGTAAACGAAGGAATGTTGCAAAAGAAGACGTGCTTTACAGAAACCTGCGACGGAACCTTCCAAAAACCAGTTGCAATGGCAACAGGAACGAGCATTTATGAATATGTATGATCAGATTCTGACTGATTCAAATGACATACTGAACAGAGCGTTGGTAGCTCTTTCAGATCTGGTCGAAACAGTTGATAACCAACAAAAAAAAAGAGACTTACGAATCGAGCCTTCACATTATTTAATGATACAATAAGTGCTGTTGATCTTATTGTGAAGAAAGCGAGAGCTTCAAAAGACGTGGCTTGTTGCAGTTGTATGGATTTGTGTTTTTTTTCTTCGTCATTTCAGTTTTTGAATGATATGAACTGATTTAGGATCAAAGCCGAGTCAACATGCTTGAGATCTATGGGGTTCTGAAGATCGAAGACGGAAATCCAGACTGCTGTGTGGTCCTCCTGCTGCTTGAAGTTGAATTAGGATTTGTACTGGGGAGAGAACTGCTCTGACTAGTTCCTGCACATACTCCGAGCTACGGATGTAAATAGTATCCGGATGACTGCTGGGCAACTGGAAGGGGCGTTCCGAACACGTTTGTATGACAGAAGTGTGTTCCGACTGTGGTTTCGGGAGCTCTGCAGCCTCTTCGTCCAGTATGATAGTTTCCTGCTTCCGGATCTGATATCAATCTTTGATTGTCGTCTCCTGCTGCTACTTGATTTGCTGGTTTGCATCTCCTCCTGCTCCAGTACCCCAATCTAGCCATCAGCTCCTTTGCTATCAGATGCGCGATTTCTTGAATTCTGCTTTGCCATTAATGGTAAACTCATTGCAAAACACTGAAATCATCACAACTCACACTCCACTATCCAGAACGTACTGAGTGATCCCAACTAGCCTCCGCAGGATTCTTTCATCTCGGAGCACGAGGTTCCTGGACTTCCTCCAGTTTTGATAGCCAGCTTCAGGGTAAAGCTCGGATGTAGTAACGATGTATACCTTGACCCTGTGAGGAGGAATTCCAAACTTGTGCATCACCTTCAACATTGCTGCGTACTTGAGGCCATGCGCATGCCTTGCAGAACTGAGGGTCACTTGGTACACCTCCAAAACGTCTAGCCGACCGGCCAGTCGCACAATCTTCATAGCATCGATTGTTTCTTCAACAGTAGACTCTGGCCAGATGATCTGATTCACAGGAGCAGCAACTGGTAAACTTTCCAGTTTTGGAACTTCGAAAGGCTGTCCGAAATTGAACACCATCTCCTGGTCATCCAGGCTTCTATCTTCATAGACTTGGCGAACCTTGAATCGCTGAACTCCGTGAGCCAGTGACTTGAATTCGTGCTGAAATACATTGCCCTTGCAACCATTTACACCGTGCGCTGCCAAACCCTTGAAGGACAGGAACAGCCGTAATGCCCCACTTGTTGACTCTTTAAGCTTCTTTCGGGCAGCCTCGGACAGGTACGGAGAAGCAAACATGTACTCGTAGCTGGCGTATCCCTGTTTCACCCTCTGGTGCACTACCTTGTGGGATGGATGGTCTCCATCAGCCACCTGCCTGCCCACCAATTCAACTGTCTGCTGTACGGACTGCAAACCTCTTACTACCTCATCCAAGTCTACGTGCGGCTTCTCCAGCACAAACTGAGCCGTGCCACCACATTTCTTGTACCGCTCTTTGACAACATCTAGTGTCAGCTTCTTTCTTGCTTCAAGCAAGGCAATCAACTTCGCATTCTCCACAGCAACTTCCTGAAGATGTGCGAGAGCTGGCAGTCTCGGATCAAATATCTCCTGCCAAGCCAGTGCGATCTCCGCAGCAGACCAGACCGGTAGCAAGACAAGATCTCCACGGCCATCCTTCTCGTAATCCTGGAAGTTGAGCAGCTTGGGGATGGTGGCAAGTAATGACTTGCAGCTGAATGAAGGGACGTCAGGCATCTTGCCATCCACCAAAAAGTAGACTTCGGGGTCGTATAGAACGGACTTGTTTCTCAGCTTCAGACACGCGTAAGCCTCGCCAGTACCCGGCGCTTCCACAGGCTGCGGTTCAAATAGGAAGAAATCTCCTCCCTTGGTCTGTAGTGCAATGGCTTTCCTCTGCTTCATTAAACTGAGCAGCATGCAGATGATAAAGCCGGTCTTGCCAATCCCAGGCACTCCAACTAGCAGAACTGCCTTAACTCCGGCGTCCCAACGTGCCTGCACCGCCTCCTGAAGACTCACATAGCTCCGCCTCTCTAAGATCTTGGTGCCACTAGTCTTGCACCAAATCCTCTCTACGGCCCGCTTAGACCGCTTTGATGAGAACACGTACATTTTCAGCTCCAGCAGTCCTGCTATGAACAACACTCAGACAGGAATCGTCAGAGTAATGCTCAACTTACCCGGCTGAGCAGGTTCCGGTAGATCATTATAAGCATTCTCCATCATTTCCAATTCTTCGCCTAGGTCCTGAATTCATGCGGAACATGAGAAAGAAAAAGAAAACAACAGTCTCACCTCTTCGTCTGGAGCTTGCTCAATTATTTCCTCCTCAGAATCAGGAGGAGGACCAATCGGACTGTACTGAGCAGGCAGCTCCAGGATTTCATTCTCTTGCCGCAGAGCGACGGTCACCTCCGTACACTCAAAACCCCACTCCAATGTGCAGTCGTCTTCCACTGCACAAGAAGGATGTGAACACAAAACTACAAAGGGAAGACACACCATACCAAGATCTGTGGCGTCAGGCCTCATATAGTCGCGAAGCGCAATGCAAAAGAGAGCCGAAAGGTGGGAGCGGAGAGACCTGAAGTTGACATTGGCTAGGTCATCCAGCTTATGGAACCCCGCATTCGCAGCCTCTTGACACCATCTTCCAGTTTGCGGTGGGAAGGATACCTTGAACTGAGAAACTCATGAATGCTCTCAGACTCGCGCTTCGGAGCCATGAAACCCTAGAACCCTAGCCGCAACACTTGGCCTAAGCCCTAGCCGCAACACCGTCTGATGCAGATTCTCCGAATTTCCAGACCGTGCAGGAGACAGTGCGGCAGGGATCGACTCGAGCTGCCGAGAAATTTGAAATATATCTTGTGAAACCACTAACAACGGGAAAATTCGTTAAGCATGAAACAAAACCAGTATTCCGTGGTCACTCGTAATAACTTAGTCCCAGTAAATATGCTTTTTCAGACCCCTATACGAATTTCTGAAAATTTGATGTTTTTTCAGGCCTGTAATTTTTATAGTAAATTTTAAAACATGTACCATAGATTATTTCAAAATTTGTGTTGTATCTGTATAATTATACATTTAATAGGTCATATTTGATACATTTAAAGTGTTTAAGATATTAATTTATTTTTTCTAGTTTAAGCATAACTAGGAAAAAATAAATTAATATCATAAACACTTTGATTAAGCCTGTATTAAAACTGAAATTTGGAATTTGAATAGGATGTAATTGGGATTGAATGCTGAATTCAATTATTCAAATTCAGTTTGTATGTAAAGAAAGGCTGCATGGTGGATCTGTTCTTCCTCTTCGCTAATTTTTTCTAGGGTTCATAGGATTGGAGTGATGCGCTTTGGCAGCATGTATTTTTGGTCACGATCAACTTGCACAGGTGTGTTTGTTGATATAAAAGACCATATTAAAAGCAGCTAGATGAGGCAACTCTAAACAGCAACAAGTTATGAAATATCACTCCACTTTCAAGCACCATTTCAGGGGCTGGGTACTGATATTCAATTAGCCAGACAGTCTTTAGTCTTTCTACTTTTCAGTTATGTATACTTGTCACCAAGCTGCTTGGTATTTAGGGAGCCAAGTCACTGTTGACTTGAGAATATTTTATTAGAATAATTGTTGCCATCTAAAGAATATTCCCTCATTTATATTGCTGTTTAAAACATATAACTAAGAATATGTTATCGATTTTTAAGTTTATATTTAAGGTTAGTACTAACCTTGAAAGTTAGTATTATAATATAATACTAAAGTTTTTTTAAGATTAAGTATTTGAACTATATTTGTATGTTTAAGATTTTTAGGGACAATACAACTATAAAGTGGAAGTTTTCATTGATGATTGGGAAGGCTTAATAACAAATGTTGATGTCTATCTCTGTCTAGCAAACTCCAATGACATTTTCCTTAATTTTCAATTTTGCAGTGAAGCAGGCCACCAACAACAAGTGTGTAAGCAGTAAAAGTTTCACTGTTAGTCAATGAGTGAGAGATCCAGTTATGGAGAGGGCAATGAACGAATTTAAGTTGAAGGATCATTGGACATTTAAATTGTAATCATGAGGCTCTTACACTTTCAAAAGAGAAGTCCCAACTTTGGAGGCAAAGACAGTCAAAGACAATAGATTAAGCAAATTTGATAAAACGCATGACACAAACTTAGTGCACTTGAAGAGCAAATGATTTTGTGAATGATTTCATTATAAGTTGTGGTAGGAGCTTTTAGTTGGTGGTGTCATATGAGTTGGTACAACTTTAGAAACAAGAGCTTTAAAACTTTAACCCCACTTGACAACTTCACTCAGTAAGCCACTTTATTGATACGTTCTAAGATTTTGTAGGGATTTGAATACATAAGGGACAATTTGTCACTTCTCCCATCTCTTAAAGACACAATAGTTGTACAACTCTATGATAATAAATAGTACTTGCACATAAACCAAGTCACCAACTTTGAACTCTTTAAAAGTAATTCCATGGATACATTTTTTGCCTCATCATCCATCTTAGATCCTTGAGATCCAAGTAAATCAAGCTTAGAAGCTGTCCTGAAATTATGACCATACATTGCAAAGTGTTATATTGGTGCCACTATACTGAGTGTTATAGACAAACTCCACAAGGAATAAGAATTTATCCTATTATCCTTGTTGTCTATGAATAGTGCACCTTATTAGCATGTCCTTAATTGATTTGCTCAGTTTTACCATTTGTTTAAGGATATCCCCACTAATTGGCTTGATGCCAATCTTCATGAGCTTCACAAAAAAAAACATGCTCCAAATAAACTGCAATTATGTTCACATTCTTTGCTCCTTTTTTCAAAGGAATCAACATTATAGACATGGTCAAACAATCCATAATGACCCAAGCTTGCTTGTTTTGCCTTGTGTTCTTGGCAAACGCATAATAAAATCCATGGATATGCTCATCTATTTGTCCTCTGAGATAAGGAATAATAGCAAAAGTTCCATTTACTTTTCCCTTGGCACTTTAACTTATTGAATTTTTTTGCATATCTTGCAATATTTGAGTTATCAGTGAGTTAGTCATTTTTTATGTCCTTCCAAAAAAAATTTACATTTGATAAACTCATACATTTTCCTCCCCCCAAAATGACTAACCTCTGGGCAATCATGATCTTAGATATGGTGGGAAATAAAGTTGGGGTCATTTGTTTGTAGTGGATCTTTTAATCTTCAAATTAAGACCACAAGATAAAAAATAATTGTTGATAACAATCACATTATCTCTAAGTTTGAGCCAATAGCTAGGGGATAGTGGCACAAGTGCCTTGATTTGGACTTCCTAAGAGGTCTTTTAACCTAGTATTACTCAAGCCCAAGATTACTTATACAAGTGCATGCAGCCAGACTAGGTATCCCAACCAGCCATGCCTTAGGGCATAGCCCCTCGGGGACAATATAATGTTTACGGTTTACAATTTATAAATGTGTGTCAATGATCTTTCAATAGGTTCACCTACTAAAAACTTCTCCTTCCTCTAAATGATAAGGTTTAATGAGCTTTTCACATGCACCCCCATGTGATTGAGCTCACCCAATTTCAAGATAAGGGAATTGCTCACTTGAATCCAAACTTAGTGGTTACACTAGGAACATCAATTCATTAAACATTATAAGTAAGTGGAGCCATCACCCATTAGAGATAATACAAGAGGAGAAAATTTTGCTATACTATAGAGTGACTAATCTTTTTGCCAGATAGGAATGTAAGGAACCAACTCGCCGAGGTGTCGTAGGCTAAAGAAACCCCGAAAGCATGACCAAAATGACAAAGAGTTCATCGGATGGGACCAAGTCGAAGATCGAGGCCAAGACCGACTCTAGGACCGAGTTCGAGATAGAGTCCGGAATCGAGTCCGAGACCAACTCGGGGACCGAGTTCGAGTCCGAGTTCGAGACCGAGTTCGAGACGGAGTCCGAGATCCGAAATCGGGTCCGAGACCGAGTCCGAAGTCGAGTCCGAGGTCGGGTCCGAGATCGAGTCCGAGATCGAGTCCGAGATCGAGTCCAAGACCGAATCCGAAGTCGGATCCGAAATCGGGTCCGAGATCAAGCCAGAGACTAAGTCCAAATACTAATACGGGTCAAGGGGTGAAAGCCCAAAGCGTGCGTCTCACAGGGGGGGGGGGGGGGGCTTCAGGGGGTTCCAAAAGTATAGTAGGGATAGTGAGGTCCAGGAACCAATTTAGAAGGGACTCTCCAGTGGGGCTCCCAAACTGACTTGAGGTTGGGACTGGGACCGAGGGGCCTTGGGTGGGAGTGAGCATGGACTTGGTTGGTGCCGGAGGGGCCATCCAAAGAAGTGCTCAAGAGCAGCTCCCACTCCCGAAAGGGAAACCGACTGCGATGCTCCCGGCTCATGTGGAGTGGTGCCCCACTTGAGTACCATGCGGCTCATTGGTCTTCGCCCTTCCTAGGGGCTTGGGCCTTCCTTTGGGATGGAAGTGGGGGGGTAAAGGTACCCATACCGGGCCGCTAGGCCACGGTGTTTCGCCCTGGCGTCCCGAAGCAAGTGTTGCACTCAAGACTTGGGATTTAGAGGGTCCCATGATCAAGTCTTGTGGTACCAAAGGATGTTAGGAACCTGGAAGCTTGGTGTGCTTGGCTGCTTGTGCTTGCGGGGAGTGTAGCCGAACCTTAAGTCCAGTCTAACCCGGGGAGGGGGATTGGGAGTGATTTGGGAATCTGTGGATGGATGGCTAACACTCTGTTGCTCGTGCAGTGAGTAGCTGAAACCAAGTAGGAGCTGGTACCATAGGCGAGAACCTTGGCAAGGGAACTTAGCAAAAGCCAAGGCAGTGTTGGACGGATAGTCGAGGTAAGCTGGCAAATTGGAAGAGAAACATTTGTGGCTTACAATTTGGTATCGGAGCCTTTATCTCAGTTCTAGTGAAGGATAGAGGCGGATTGCTGGGAGATGGCAAGGGTAGGGCGTAAGTGAACCCAGGTGGAGACGGAACATCCGCCGGAGCTGGAGCCTCCGGTTGAACAAGAGGCTATGGATGAGGAATCCTTGCACGAGGAGGACTTTAGTGAGGAAACTTCCAAACAGGAGTCCGGTGGCGAGGTTCGGTCGTCCAAGGCTCGATTGGACGTGCTAGAAGGACAGTTGGCACAGACCAATGCCCTGCTGGAAACTCTTGTACACAAGCTAAAGCGTGACGAGAGGCGGAAGAAAAAAAGAAAGACTGCGGATGCTGGCAGCGCAGAAGGTGCGGACCTTTCGGCCAGGACTGAGGCAAAACCAGACAAGGTCGAACAGACCGAAGTAGAATCAGTCCCTCAGGCAGTTCCCAAGTACAAACCAAAGCCCCCACCGGTCTTCAAGGGAGTGAAAGACTATAAAGTGGTGGAG